TATATAAATAAAAAATTGGTGTAAATGCGCAGTTACTTAGTGTTGATAATGAAAACTAAATTTGACTGTATAAGAAGTATTCTTTGAAAAGAAATCTATTTTTAACTCTATCGTATGAATTGTAACGTGTATTTTTATTTTAATCTTAAATTATTATAGAATTAAAAGAAGTTTTCTATGATCATATAATTGATTGTAATATTGTTACGTTAATAGATGAGTATACTAATGGGAAAAATATAACTTATTCTAAGAACAATAATAGTAATAATGATAGATTAATTTTTGTTATCGATGGATGGTAATGATTCTGAGTTGAGTATTAAAGAAATGTTAGTTTTAATTATAAAATGAACTCATAATTTTAATTGTGATGATATAAAATATTTTTTTTCTTTCTATAAATGATTTAATCATCAAACACTTTGTTGAATCATTTTTGACTCAATTTGTAGTAACATGAAAAATATTTTTTTTTTCTAAAATCATTTTATATTAAATGAAAAATTTACATCTTTTGTTTTGACCTTCTATCGCTAATGGCACATTAACAACAGGAATGGATGATTTCAATTCAGTATCAAAATCAATGATTCCATATTCTCTAAAACGAGAATGAAGACTAACGACATCAGCATGATTCAGGAAATTGAAGCACTGATTTCAATCCAAAAATAGCCACCTTTGCAAATGTCTAATCATATATCATATTTCTAAGTGACTCATTTTTCAAAAAAAAAAAAAAGAAAGTAATTCATGACAAGTAGATTTTCAGCTTCATAGAGAAAAATGAAATGTCTATAATATTCAAGATAAATGGATCATTTATAGCGCATTTTACATCTGTGATTTCGCTCAAATTTAACTATGTCAGTGTCATAATCATCACCTGCATAAGTAATTCTCGTGGTTGACTTAACACTAACTCTGATGGATTAGTTGCAGGAGGTAAAGTAATAATCTATAGCTATTATTCTATTTATATATTATTAACATTTTCTAACTAATTATCTGACTGTTATTATTAATCGTTAAATATTGACTCATTCTTGACATATGAATTAAAATGGAAATTATTTATTTATTTTTTTCTCTATTCTTTTATTGCTATAAATAGATAAATAAATATCACGGTGATGAACAACAATTTAGAAATGATTTACGATATTTCTTTTTTTTCTTTTTAATTTTTTTTGTTTTCATTTTTGAATTAATTTCTCGTACAATTTCAGCAAATGTATCATTAACATTAATAGCTAATTTTGCTGATGTTTCAATATATGGACATGACCATGTTTGTGCTAATGCAAGTGCATCATCAGGTGTAACTTGACGTTGTAATGATGCATCACATTTATTACCAATAAGACATATTGGAACATTATCTGTACCTTTAACACGTAGAATTTGTTCACGTATTGTTCGAATATCAAGAAATGATTGCCATGATGTTAAACTAAATACAACAAGAAAACCACGGCCATTTTTTATATAAAGATCACGCATAGATGCAAATTGTTCTGTACCTAGAAAATATTTTCATTTAAAACAAAGAAGAAAAACAAACAACAACAGTAACACTTTCTTTTCTTTTTTTTTTTTCGATTAGAAAAACAACTAACCAGCAGTATCAAGTATTTCTAAATAAGCAGGTTCACTATCAACTTCAATTTCTTTACGATAGAAATCCTAAAAATAATAATAAATGATTAGCTTAATTAGAAATTTAAATAAAAAGAAAACAGAAAAGAAGAAATTATTTATTTATCTAAGAAAAAAATTTACTTAATTTCCATGGAGAATAATTTAAGTTCAATCTTGAAAAAATATATTCTTCAAACATTGAATTTTTTTTTTTTTTTCGAAAGAGAACACAACAGAAAAAAAAAGAATTTGATCAATTTTTAATAATAATATTTGCTTGCCTCAATAGTCGGATCATATTTTTCGACAAATTTTGAATGACAAAATTGTACAGTCAATGCCGATTTGCCAACACCGCCTGGACCAAGTACTACTACTTTATATTCTTTCATGTCGACAGCTTAACCGATATGGCTGCTGCTGATAAGATGAGGACGAGCAGCTCATTAAGCAATACAGCACACAATTGCTTACGCAGTTGAGAAGAAATTATTGTAGTCGAAATAAATGTGCCCGTATATAATAGAAGGAGAAGAGAAATCTAGAAGAAGAAGAAGAAGAAGAAGAAGAAGAATAAAACGTCGACAAGTGGCAACATGTCACACATAAACTTTACGAAAATGCAAACCCAAAAAAAAAAAAAAGGTCATTTATTTTCTTTGTGCACATTCTTTTTTTTTCTCCCGCTCTCTCTCTGTTTCTGTTGTACAAGATTACAAATTTTTTTTTGTTCCAGCTGATTCATCGTATGAAACATTCGAAAGTTTTATCGACAAAACGAAGCAAAGATGATTATGTAATCTTACCATTACTACTATCATAATCGAAAACTGAATTCATTTCGTTGATGAATTCATTACAAAAAAAGAATTGACATTTTGACACACGAAATGAGAGAGAACAATGCAACATGCAAGTTTATTGTACAATTAAGATGTATAGATGCGTGTATGTATATTGTTATACATATTATTGTATAGAAATAGAGAGAAAAAAAATAGGTTCTTCTTTTTTTTTGTTTGTTTGTTACAATACAAGTATTGGCGTTGACTTGATCGATGGCATCAATGCAAGCCATCGCTTATATATGCATTGTGCAGTTTGAATAACGACTAATCTTTCAGGCAACACCAAAGCAAGTTCGATGCTCGCTTTTATTGTTGTTGAGACATCATTCATCAAATTGAATATCGTTCATAGTACAAGTGACAATCAACAGAAGTATATAGCACATATACTGGACACTTGATCTCTATCGTCATCAATTGTTGTCAGTTTTTTTTTCTTCTTTTTCTTGTTATCGTCATTACAGCTGTTATTGCACTCTCCCTCAAGCATCGATATTTGAATATACTTCTTTCGCCTATATGACTAATCGCTTTATCTTACTTACAACAACAATATAACTCGCCGCACACATCTATATAACGATATATGCATTTTAGCAAGTGTATGAATGTGTGTGGTTCGTAGTTAGCGATAATATAATACACAATACATAGCAATACTTTCTTTCATGCGTTCATTATTTCTTTATTGTATATGTAAATATACGTGTATGAAGGATTGGCTGTCTTGGGAGAAAGCCTTGAGGCTAGTTGATCGATCACATCGTCTTATTGATTATCTATGTTTTAGTGGACCGACATGCCTCAGTCTATTCTTTCGTTCTTTAACAAAATGAATCAATCATTATTTGAAAATCATTTCATGAAGAAAAATGAAGAAAGATTTGAATTTGTTTTTATAATTGTTTTTTTTAGACGACTTTTATCTGAATTAGTTTCTTTTTAATAATATATATATTTCAACGATTCTTCTGAATTTAAAAGGAAATATCAACTATTTTTTTCTTCCTTATTCATTCCAGTCATTAAATTTACAATAGAAAGTGGGATGATACTTTGAAATCATGTTACTGTGTGTTAAATGATGTCACTTCCGAATAATCTCAAAGGACAAATTTGTTCACTCATTTTTTAAATTCAAAAATTGTGTAAATTAACATATATATGTATATATATATATATATCAGTCCGTATTTAAATAAAACTAAGGAAAACGAAGAAATTTTCAGTCTATTGTAGGAATATGTTTCTATTCTAACTTGTCAATGTGGTGTCAATTTCAATCAAGAGGGAAATGTATGTGTTCATCTAATGAATGATTACAATCTAAATCAGTTATTATTAAACAAAACAGAGTAAAATCTTGAAGAACAATATCGAGTTTTTTTTTTTAGTAATTGAATTTCTGTACAAGTCAATGTTGACATCGAAAAAAAAAAGAAAACTCTTCGTGATCTTCATGATTTAATGAACTATTCTAATTTGAATTTATTCTCAGCATCATGCAAATGTAGAACAGCACGATCTTTGCTATTGTAGGCTCCCTATAGAGCCGCTTCAGCTAACAGTAGTCAATATAAGCAATGGTAACCTCGTCATCATCATTAGTGTCAGACGACGATCTCTTTTTTTTTGGGTAGCTAAGAAAATCGTCTTGTTGCCGTCGTCATTTTTATTTCTATTTTTTGCTTAGTAGCATTTTTCTCTCTTTCTTCTCTCTTGTTCTGTGAAATGAGACGACTGACAACCATGAGAAACAACAAAATGAGAAATCTTCTGAATGGGGGTATTCTCCACATCTTCTATGTAGCACGCGAGTAGAGCAAGCATTGATGAGTCTGTTGAATGTGCAAAGCGAGAAAACGAGAAAGCGAGTAGTACGCACAAAATCTCGTCTACGATAAGAATGCGACAAGGACGAATGATGAGAGAAGCAAACATTTCCATATCCTTGTTCTTTTGCTGTTAGAATGATGGATGTATAAGAAAGAAAAAAAAATAGAGCGATTAGGGTTACTAACGATGTGAACTTCGGTCAGAAATATTGGTTTGATCTAATAAAGTGTTACTCCTAGTTTTTCTCTGGCAATCATTACTATGCACCCTTCTATTCCCTCATTCTTCTCATATTTTATGTGATCGTCCACGAATCCTTGATGATATCCACTTGGAATGACAGAAAAAAGAAAAGAACGATCAAAATGCATTTCTCTTCGTAATAGATAACTAGAACATTGACAAGCAGTATTCTTTTCTTTTTTTTTTTTTTTTTTTCTTTTTGCTTCTTTTTCTAGATGATAATTATTATGACACATTGCTAAGTTTATAGATCTTAGGCGTAAGATGAAATGAGCCTAGGTAAGTTAATTATTTTTTCTATAATTTAATCTATTTAGAAAAATTAGCTTCGATAGAAAAAAACGGATAGTAACTGTCCTTGGTGGGCACGCAATATTCGGTGTTCAATAGTAAAAAAAATCACCTACCTACACGAAGTGATGCAGAAAAATGCTTATTCTTATTGTTTTTTATTTGTGGGATTTACTTATTATTATTACAACTATTGTTGCTGGTCAACAACACATACAAACTCAAACATTTGACATCACTATTGGTAAATGATATATTAATAAAAACTAAAAAAAAAAAAATTAAAACATTATTTTTCATTGTGTTTAATTTCAAGGTGGTGTTTTTACAGATAGAGACGAAGGAACAGAAACACAAAGTATGGAAAATATATTTAAATACGCTATTTTTCATTATAATCGTTTGGCTAAAGAAGCACATAATCTTTCATTTAAAATACGTATTAAAGAAGAAACATTAAGTTTAATTGCTGCTGAATCAGCTGTACAAACTGTTCATGATGGTGTGTGTGAAATTTCGATTAAGATTTATCTTTTTATTAATTTTTTTTTCTTAGTTTGTTCACTTGTACATCAACGTCATGTACAAGGTATATTTGGTCCACCTTATCCTGAATTAGCTACACTAGTTCATTCAATATGTTATCATGTTGATATACCATTTATAAATGTATGTTCATCATGTTATGATGTTGAAAACCCGGATGAAGAACCTAATGACTATATTGAACAAATCCCAAGACGTGATCGCATGTCTATTAACTTNGCAAGGTCAGTTAAAATTTTGTCAACATATACTTAATACACAATCAACGTTAAGTTATATCTCACAATATGTCATGTTCAATCGGTAGTGTTTGGATATAGAAAAACTAATACAGGGGTCGCAGCGGCCTAGTAGGCAAAATCAGGAATCAGGACAGGAATTTTGAAGAAAAAAATCAGGATTTTCGCAGATAAATCAGGATTACAAAAACATATGTACTATTCATTGAAAATACATCTTATCTCGCAACAGGAATTACGAAATATCAATTGAAATTTATTTGCCGCGCTGTTCCCGTTCTATTAGCGATCTTTTTCCTTTTTTTATCGGATGCACAGCTGAAAGAGACTCAGAAAAGCTATATAAAACCGACCCGATTGATACTGGACAGAGCCGAACTACTGAAAAGTTCAACAAACCTGTATAGTTAGATATTTCACTGGTTAAAGCTGAAGAGTTCATTCTATAGCGCCGTTTTTGCTATAAAATCACGGATTTACATGTTTCTTATTCAGAATATGCAAGGTGGTAGTCTCTTGAAAAGTTGGTGCATTTATTGAGGAAGCGCCATCGCTGAGAGCAAGAAATTCAAATTTGGTGTTTAAACCCGCTTTAGAGGTTCCTTGAAACTACTGTTAAACGATGTTAGTTATACTTCTATTGAATCTTAATGAACTTTCTATCAGTCCGATTTCACTGTACGGCACACGCTACGCAGTCTAAATTTTATTGGATTAAAGTGGCATTGTATTGGAGCAGAATAGACTTTGAATTCAAATGGAGTTTGATTTGCTATGCAGATTAATTGAACTCTTTAAAAGCTTTGGTGTGTCGTTTAGGTTTGTCTCGAATGGTCTCTCAAAATATTTTTTTATGGAAAAACTATTCTGAGATAATTTTTAGAACAACTCAGAGTAGTATCAATAGGATGAAACTGTAGAACTCACGCAGGAATGTGAACAAACATAATTCACAACAAGAGAAATATGAGAAAGTCTAATAATCAGAATCCTCGATGCTCTCAATCGACAAAGCGTGTTTCTCTTACAATTCTTTACCATTTGTTCGATTTACCAAGTAAGGGGTATCATGGCCCATGCCCCACATTCATATATTGAAAGAGTATGGTTCATCAGATTACCAAATCTTTTCGACAAAAGACTCTTCATTCAAAACATGACTCTATCACATGGCGCAGCCTGTCAATCCTAGGAATCTCAATGTTCCGAGAATTATCGCAACGGGATTGAACACACCGTAGTGTCCTTGACCTACGCACACGACTCCTTGAGGCGCAAAAAAAGGACCTGAGTACTGTTTGACTCTCTTCCGTTTAGCAGTTGAATACTTCCGTGCAATAATCTTGCCGTTATCTTGCGATCTTTCGTTTTTTCTCTTTCTCCTCGAAATGTGAAGGGACGCGGAGGAATGCAATTTCACCGTGAACTCACCAGTTTATAGAAAACTACACGAAATTTGATCATTTACTATTCAGATCGTGGCTGAATATGAGTATTTGAAGACTGATAGAGATGATCAAAAACTAGTTGTCTTGGGTGTTTAGATTGTTACACCGAGGTTCATAAGTTGCAAGGAAATAATTCCTCTCAATATTACTGTAAAAGCCGTGAAATTCCCCTTTGACGAACGACAAAAACACTTTAGGGGATTATCGGTGCTTTTAAGGCGATCACTACTCATTGCTATGTTTGGTATACCTAGTCTTTCATAATAATCGAAGAGCAATGGGAAAAAATCAGGAAAATCAGGAACAATAGCTGAAATCAGGACGAATCAGGACGCTCTCAAAAAAATCAGGAAAAAATCAGGAAAGTAGTGCCGCTGCGAGGCCTGCCTTTAAATAATATTCTTTTCTTATATGTTTTTTTTTCAGCAGAACAGACTGATAGTTTCAGTATATATACCAGACATCTAGGTCTATTCGTCACTACAATTTCAGCTTTCTACCTCTTATAGGCAGAAGTGATACTCATAACGTAAAATTAATAGGA